CAAGTCCCCAAAATTTCAGCCCCGTAGCTTTTGTAGGTCTTGAGATGAAAAACCGTGACAGACGCACACACGAACGCACACACACACACACAGACAACCTCTCGTCAATATGCGTTTTTCGCATTGCATTGCTGCAAAAAACGCGTAAAAACCAGTACTAGTGACAAAATATAGGCAAAAAGTCAAACTCCCCTCCCTATTCAGCTTGCTTCAAACACACACACAGACAACCTCTCGTCAATATGCGTTTTTCGCATTGCATCTAAAAAACGCATACGCACACACAGACACATACACACACAGACAACCTCTCGTCAATATGCGTTTTTCGCATTGCATTGCTGCAAAAAACGCATAAAAACACACAGACAACCTCTCGTCAATATGCGTTTTTTGCATTGCATTGCTGCAAAAAACGCATAAAAAGAAATGAAGGCAGCGAAGCGTCCCATCGAAAGAGGTATAGAACTTATCGGAAATCGAACCACGGCACCAGCGCGGCATATGGGCACTCTGCCGCTGCGCCACAGGCGAGCTCGGGGCGGGATCCAAACACGGAACATCAGCGCAGCAGACGGACGCTCTGCCCCTGACCCACAGCCGGGACCGCAGCAGGATCCGAACCTGAGATCGTCAGGTGGCGAACCGGTGTTCTGCCACAGAGCTGCTAGTGCAGTGTGGATCAGCGGCAGGAACTGAACACGGAAGGCTGGTATACTAGACGGACAATCTGCCGCTCGCGACACTGCCAAAATTTGATTCCGAGACAACAGCGCTGCAAACGCTAGTATTGAACCACCAATAAGGAATTGTCTGTTAGAAATTGTACTAGTCAGTATGTCTGGACATTACGGTCTTCTGTCAAAATTTAAATTTTCTTTCGAAAATTACTTTTGCCATTACCCACGTAGTTCCCGCGCATGGGTCCGTCAAAGTTTTTGGCAGGTAACTCGCTAACTCGGGAACCTGAAAATTTAGAAGATTGGAACTTTAAGAGGATGTTCTTTATCCACGCAGGTCTTAATGAGTTCGAACCCGGTCCTCGGGTATGCGTGGTTCACACGTACGGGCCCGTGAACGGTAACCTGCTAACTCAGGGAACTGAAAAATTAGGGAGTTAGAATTTTAATAAGATGTTTCTGTTCACGTAGAACTTAGTGGCTTCAAGCTCTGCTGCCAGTTACGCGTGATCCTCACGTACAGGCCGGTGAAAATTTTTGACAGGTAGGTTACTGGCTCAGGAGTCAGGAAAACTAGAAAGCTAAAATTTTAAGAGGGGGGAGGGGGGCAATTCCGACAGTCCTGGCGGCCAGTCTCAGTTCGCTTAGCTAGAAGCATCTTCATGAAGAACCGGTACCGCTAGCGACAAAAACCTGCGGGGAACCATACAAAAAACGCATCTTCGCACCGGCAGTCAACGCACCGATAATTTATTATGCGTTTTGTGATAGCAGTACAAAACGCAAACTGTCACAGAGTTGTCTGTGTATGTATGTGTGTTTGTGTGTGTGTGTATGTGTGTGCGTGTGTGTGTCCCACATTTTGTTCCGCGCTTTCAACTCGAGAACCACAAAAGCTAGACGGCTGAAATTTTAGAACAGTTTTCCCGCCAACGGGTGACACGACAGATTTAAATTCAGCCTCCCCGTACTCGCGGGTAACACATATGGCCCTGCAAAAGTTTTTAGAGTAAAATCAGTATCTCGGGAATCACGGAAGGTAGAAGGCTTAAGTTTTATAGACATGTCCTCCGCCCATGTGCTACCCGGAAAATTTAAATTCAGCTTTTCCCTGCCCGCAGGTAACAAGTACGGCCCCGTGAAAATTTTTGACGGGTAAATTATTACCTCAGAAACCACGGAGTCTAGGAAGCTGAAATTTTAAGGTAATAACCTCATATCCACGCTCAACCTTGCCTATTCAAATTCAGCATTCCCGCCCTTTCGGTTATCACCTGGGGGCTAATGAAGGTTTTTACGAGTAATTTATCATCTCGGGAACTACAAAGTCTAGGAAGCTGAAATTTTGGGATTATGACCCTTTGCCCACGAACGATCTTTACATATTCAGCGTCCTCGCGCTCTCGAGTATCACCTACGGGTCGTGAAAATTTTAGCGGTTAAACTACTAATTCGGGAATCACGGAAAGGTTCCGAATTTAGCTTTCATGCGCAGGTGCATGAAATTTTTAACTATTTTTCAATGTTTCAACTATTTTTGCATAGGCTAAAGTACAAA